GCACACGTGGAGACAACAATATCCTTGTTAAAAAATTCAATAAAGGCCATGCTAAAAAATGTGGCTTTTATATGTAGGTAAATTGGTTCCCTAAAATACCTATGGCAGGCTTAGACCATTATAGGTTTCCCACAGGGCAGAACTTGCTCCTGGGGTCAGCACTCTCTAACGAGTCAAAAGGAAGAAGCTAAGATAAACATGCCCAGTCCATTCTCCCTGCATTGACTGGTCCTATAAATCACTCCATTCCGGAGTATGTGGACTACACAAGGGAGCAGAAGGAAGCCAGACAGTTCTACTAACTGAATTCCATATCAAGGTATATATGGAGCTACCTTGTGGAAAAAGCAGTGGGGGAAATTGTGACTTGGAGTAATTATTTCACTCTCTTCTATGATCTTGGAAATGGCATGTCCCATATCTGAAAATCAGGACTGGGATCAAAGCTTCGCCCCTCCCCTGAAATGCAGGTGGCAACAAGTATGTGCTCAAAAGAAAGAACTACAAGAAATATGATTAAATATAAAAGACAAAGTGAGTGCAATAAGTAGTCTCATTTTGTTATAAGCCATCTAAGCCCACTAAGCATACCAGAGTAACTCAAATCCTTCTGAAGAGATGAAGTAACTCCTATTAATTGAATTTGTGCAAGTGAACAGGATCAAGGACTTGGAGCAAGTGTTACTGTTTATTTTATAATCTCTGAATTATTTAGCATTGTTTTTATTGTGTGCACATATTATTCTAATAATAATGATAAAAACAAAACAAATTTAAAACATTTCTCTCTACCTGATTGCTGCTACAGAATAAAAGGAAAAAAGCAAATTCATTTTTTACTCCCTTGTTCCAAAAATCTCTTCCAACTTTGTCTCCAGCTAGCACCAAGATGTGAAGCCTGAATATCAGCAAATATTTACATTATCCTAGCTAAGATTATTTGGTCAGTTGAAAAAAACCCATCAACTCTGCCTGTCAATAAACTGCCTGTCTAAGAAGTCATACTCTTATGCCACTGCTAGGCAAGAAGATTGATAGACCATTTCTCAAAGATGGCATAGCTGTATCTCTCAACAACTTTAAAAATGCCTTTTTTTACCTGGCAATTTCAGTTTTAGGATTTATTATAAAGCAATCGTCATGGATGGGAGTAAATACTTGGTTTCTAGAAGGTTAATTTAGAATATTCTTTTTAATCATAATGCCCTTGGGAGCTAGGTGGCTTTCCCAGAAGGATAAGACATGGTCTCTGCCATCAGAGACTTTATACCTTGAACGGAAGTCACACGTACAGCAAGAAGGTCTAAAAACCTGTGGAGGAACAGTCTAGGGAGGGGAGAAATAATGACAACAGGGAAACATGGGAAGGCTTCCTGGAATAGATGGTTATAAACATCTGCTGTTAGGATATGTGCTAAGTAAGGTATGAAACATCTTTAAGGTATGAGACAATAAAAGAAACTTTGTATTCATCAAAATGATAGAGAAGCATGTATAATGGCCAAAAAAGATGCCCATGATGCATTCTATTTTTTTTCTTTTTTTGAGACAGAGCCTTGCTCTGTTGGCCAGGCTGGAGTGCAGTGGCACAATTTCTGCTCACTGCAACCACCATCTCCCCGGTTCAAGCGATTCTCCTGCCTCAGTCTCCCGAGTAGCCGGGATTACAGACATGTGCCACCACAACCGGCTAATTTTTGTATTTTTAGTAGAGACGTCAGGCTGGTCTCGAACTCCTGACGTCAGGTGACCTGCCCGCCTCAGTCTCCCAAAGTGCTGAGATTACAGGCGGAAGCCACCGTGCCCCGCCCACATTCTTAAGTGGAAAACACATAGGTACAAAACATTGTGTAAAATATTCACCTATTTTTGTAAATAAAATCTGAATAGCAAAGGTGTAGAAGAGCACACAGGGAAATATCAATGGCAGTTATCTCCCTGTATGATGATGGAATGACCTATTTTTCATTTACTTTTATTTTTCTACATATCTATGTTTTTTCAAATTTCCCTAATAAACCTATTACTAGTGTACTAAAGGGAATTAATCATTTTTAATGAAAAAAAATTAGTAGAAGAATACTATCAATTTCAAGTCCTAGCTAAGGAGTCATCTATTCCTGGAAGCCTTCCCATGTTTCCCTGTTATTATTTCTCCCCTCCCTAGACTGTTCCTCCGCTGGTTTTTAGACCCTCTTGCTGTATGTGTGACTTTGGTTCAAGGTATAAAGTCTCCGTTGGCAGAGACCGCGTTTTATCCTACTGGGAAAGCCACCTAGCTGCGAAGAGCAGTGCAAGGTTCCTGTGTACCTAATAACTGTTTGCGACCTGAGTGGAACGACTTCTATTGGCTTTGCCTTTAGAAAAAGATTATTAAAGTATTGATGGTGAAACCATAGATGTAGACCATGCTAGGTAGTGAACTAACCCATTTAAAACATCACTTGGAGGCCGGGCGCGATGGCCCCCGTCGGTAATCCCAGCACTTTGGGAGGCCGAGGCGGGCGGATCACGAGGTCAGGAGATGGAGACCATCCTGGCTAACACGGTGAAACCCCGTCTCTACTAAAAAATACAAAAAATTAGCTGGGCGAGGTGGCGGGCGCCTGTAGTCCCAGCTACTCGGGAGGCTGAGGCAGGAGAATGGCGTGAACCTGGGAGGCGGAGCTTGCAGTGAGCCGAGATCACTACACTGTATTCCAGCCTGGGCGACAGAGCAAGACTCCGTCTCAAAATAACAACAACAACAACAAAACAAACAAACAAACAAACAAAAAATCAAACACATTACTTGGGAGAATGGTTCGTTTTCTGAATGTGATTCCATTTGAGTGTGATTCCATTTCAGGGGGTACCTTCCTAAAAGGATCTCTCTACACGTTAAACAGAGGCAGTGGTATGGCACACTACATATCAGGGATTAATAAGGAAACATTACTATGGAGAAACTTCTGAGTGTTTCACCAATCCAACCCTTGTACAAACTGGAGTTATTAATAAAGACTGATAATCGAACACCTGCTTTCATTCTCGCTTTTTGAGGGAATAAAAACAGCAAGGTGAGCCTTGGCAGTTTTGGATCTCTCTCTGACTTGTTAAATTTCTCTCTCCCTCTTCTCCTACCTTTTGAAATCCTAAGCGCTGGTGCTTTATGTTCTGGCTTGTAAATGAAGCCTGTTATTATCATTGAGATAGTGTTTTTATGGCATAAATAATGAGCTCAAACAGGGGAAATGGCGTCAGGTGGAATTACTGCTTGAGCTGAGATGGAAATAATCAATATGTCCTCACTTACAAATCTCATCTGCATGTCAGCTCCATCCTGCCGGCTGTCTTCCTACAGATTCATTTCACAGGAGGCCCAATAAAACATGCGGGTGGCATTGATCTGTTTTATTCATAGCCATAGATAGAAATGCATCATTTGAAATTAATAGAAGGGCTTGTGTTTATAACCCAACTCAGAATAAGTAGCCTGCAATGCAGACCATTAAGAGAGGACTCATCATCCACCCAGGGGAAGAGATGACCATGGGGATTAGGGATCAGGGAACCATGTTTAAAGTCCTCTGTGATGTCATGCCTATTCTCACTCATCCTGCTTCAGGGTTTTGCAACCTGAATGCTACAATTACTCATTAGAACAATTGCTTAAATCAGCCCAAGATACTATGATCTGTTTCTAGATATCTTTCCCAAATTCTGTCTGCCTTTTTTGTCCCCTTCAACCCTGTGCAAAATGAACACTAAGATATAATCTTATAGAAATGGAAAGGGAACTTAGAAACCATCTATTTCAATCTTGCTCTTAATTGTTATATATGTCCTATATCACAATGGTCAACCAGTCTGATTGAATATCTCTAAAGATAGAAAGTTCACTATTTTATAATACAGCCCCATATGAAAAAGAGTTTAGAAAGCTTTGATTTTTTGAAAGTTCTAGTAAAAATCATCCCCTTTGGTATATTAAGGGAGGTAGTTCTATTCCCTGGAGTATTCCCAGAGTGCCCCATGACATTCTTTGTATAATATCATTTTAATGGCCTTGAATGGACTGAACGATAGAGAATTCCACTTAGCTCTTTAGTTTATCATATAATATTCTATATTCTTCATGTGTTTAATCAGTTTCCGTTTTTATAACACATCATGTCTCCTCCCGACTGGAACCAACCCCTTTGCTATTTGCATTGCTAACACATACCCATCCTTCTGATCTCACATCAAATGTCCTGTCTGCTGGAGAGATTTTCCTGATCACTTCAAACTTAGATCAAAACCCTCTGTTACATACCTTAATCCTACCAAATGTCTTCTTGTATAGCTCATATTGCATTTTTAATTAAATGTTTTACTTTGAGATAATTGTAAATTCACATGCAGTTATAAGAAATAATACAGTGAGATCTTGTGTACCCTTTACCCAGTTTCCCCCAATGGTAATCTCTGGCAGAACCATAATACAATAGCACAGCTAGGATATTGACATTGACACACTTCATCAATCTTATTTATATTGCCCAAATGTTACTTACATATGTTTGTATGTGCTTATTTCTATACACTTTTATCCCATATGTAGGTTCATATGTCTAATACCACAGTCAAGACACAAAATAATGTATCACTGTAAGTGGTTGCCCTTTTATAGTCACATCTACTTCCCTCTCCTCATGCCTTCCCTGATTCCTTCACCTAACCCCTAGCAACCACTAGTGTGTTCTCCGTTTTAATTACTTTGTCATTTTAGCATGTTATGTAAATAGAACTGTTGTTTATGTAACCACTTGGAATTGACTTTTTCCCTCTGAATAATTCCTCTTTAGAGATTAATGCAAGAGTTTGTCTGTATCAATTGCTCTTTCTTTTTTTGTTGTATCCCACAGTGTGGGTATACCACAGTTTGTTTAACCATTTGTCACCAGTGAACAATATCTGAATTTGTGTTTTTCCCCAGTCTTTGACAATTAAAAATAAAGCATCTATGAACATTTATGTCTGAACAAATGTTTTAATTGTTCTGGAGAAAATGTCCAGAAAGACAGTTGCTGGGCTGTATTACCATTGCTTTTGATAATTATATGCTTGAGCCATTGAATTCACTTAGAATTGTACTCCTCATTTGACTGTAGGTAAGGTGCCAGCTAAAGACTCAATCTGTATGTTTGGCACCTAGTACAATGCTAGGCACCTAATAGTTACTAAATAAATGCAATGTATGGTAGGTGGGTTTTTTTTTTTTTAAACTCTCTCCTAACTTGCATGGGGGCTGGATCTTGAGCTTCTCAGTCCCACAAGACACATTAGATTTCTCTAGTTCCGGCTTTCTTTACTGGAGCCTATGAATGTTCTGAGATTTTTACCACTAAGAATTCAGAAGGAGGAAGACTCATCCATCTGACTCCTGCAATCCTCTTCTTCCAGGTCATTTATCTTCTCTCTATGGTCTCCTGCTGAAATAATATCTCTTGGGTCCTCTTGATTCTAGAGAATTCACTCTGAAGAATTTAAAGAGGAAGGGAAAATATTAATAAAAAGAAACACCAGAGACTCAATTTTGATAATAGTAACCTTTTATCTGTAAGCTGGTGAAACGTGACCAGAAAGATCCAACAGTGAACAAAGATGAGAAAAAAAAAATTTTTTTTAAAGAAAAATGTGTTTTCTCAGTTTATTTTCTGAGTTCCTCTCAAACGTAACATTTCTAAAGGTAGGCTTTCCAGAGAAGCCCACTACCTTGGAGGGCCTGGGTTTCTTTTTGTAACTTTGTTTTACCCTAGTTGGGTAAATCCACCTCACAGACTTCAGTTGCACAACAAAATAAATGATGATAGCAGTTCCTAAAAAGGTCATATGAAATAAGGCATGGGAAGATAACTGTCCAACCATTAAACACTATGTAAATGTATATGTCCATTTTTGCCCATTAGATACTGAAATTAGGTGCCTACAGCACCTTTATTCCAATTCAGGTCAACAGATTTGATCTGAGCATCTACCATATTCTAGGCATTAAAGATACTTGTGTATGTGGTGGGGGGTGGAAGGGGGTTGGTATAAAAGTACAGACCCTGTACTGTCCTGCTACCATAGAAGGAAATAATTGTAATAGTATAATACTTGATGGAAATAGAAGTACAACAGAAAACCGGAGGAGGGGCAACTTGAGAAGAATTAGGGAAGGCTCTGGTCATAAGGAAAGACTCAGAAGCGGCAATATTTGATGGGTTTGAGAAGAGGTAGAATATGGACATCTCCAGTGGAGAAAGGGGATTCAACAAAAGTGATGTCAGAAGATCAAAGGCACGGAAAATGAAAAGGAATTAAGAATACATTGAATCTTACAAGGGTATAATGAGTGGATAGGAGTAATTGGGTACATGTATGGAAGGGTAAGATTGGATCACATTATGAAGGGCCAATATATTTAGATGTAAAATTTTGGCCTTTAACCTATTGGCAAAAAAAGCAATGGAAGATTTCTGAACAAGGACACCACATAAGAAATTGTGCTGAGGAAGGTGATTATAACAAAAGAAAGGGCTTGAGAAAAAGAAACTAGATGAATGCATAAAAAGCAATGGAAGATTTCTGAACAAGGACACCACATAAGGAATTATGCTGAGGAAGGTTGATTATAACAGAAGAAAGGGCTTGAGAAAAAGATACTAGATGAATGCATATTGACCAATGAGCAGAAAAGAGTATAAGTCAGCAAGAACAGAAAACTGGGGCAGCTGAAAAAAGCCAGGGCACTGCCAGCAGGGTAGATGATGGCCACAAGGATAGGAAAAGGGTTGAGGCAGGAAAGGTAAGCAGGGACACTCTATGAAGTGCCTAATAGGTAAAATGAGGTTAGGAGATAAATTCCACAGACAGACCTAACTCAGTTTAAATTCTCATTTTTCTACTTATTTACTTGAGGCAAGCGGGATAGCCTCTCTGTGCCTCAGTGTCCTCATCTGTAAACTATGATCGATGACACAGACCACAAAATAGATCAGTTTTTCATGATTAAATAAAATGGTAAATATGAACATCATCAAAGCATATCATAAAAAGTTCAGTAGATGTTAGCTATGTTATTATTGATTTTATTTTATTTTAATTATTTTCCAGGAACTTGAATTCTATCTTGTGTGCCAAGAGACATACAATGAGTATTGTATTTTAGAAATATCATCTTATGTATCACGTGGAGAATAGATTTGAGAGGATTGACACTCACAGCAAAGAGACCAGTTAGGAGATTTTTGCAATAACCCAGGTAAGAGATAGTGAAAACCTGGATTATAGGAGGGGTCTTATAACTAAACCTCAGGGCTTACTAACTGCATTAACCCCATTGCTGGAAAATATAGCTGCACACGGAAGGTTCTCAAAATATCTGATGAATGAATAAAAAATCTGAAAAAATTCAAGGAATAAACTTTTAAAATTCACAAATAGGGCCTGGTGAGATAAAGCACGCCTGTAATCACAGCACTATGGGAGCCTACAACCGAAGACTGCATGAGCCCCAAGTTGTAGGCTGCAGTGAGCTATGATTGCGCCGCTGCACTTCAGTCTGGGTGGCAGGGAGAGACCTTGTCTATAAATAAATAAGTAAATAAAATTGAAATGTAATATACACCCAGACATGTTCACTTACTCCAAATATATTGTTTCATGAATTTTCACAAACTGAATAAAAACCTATGCAACCATTTCCCAGATCAAGAGACAGAAAATTGTTTCCACCCGCCAAATCTCTTTTAAAAATTCTCTGGCTGAGGCCGGGCGCAGTGGCTCACGCCTGTAATCCCAACACTTTGGGAGGCCAGGGCAGGGGGATCACGAGGTCAGGAGATCGAGACCATCCTGGCTAACACGGTGAAACCCCATCTCTACTAAAAATACAAAAACTTAGCTAAGTGTGGTGGCAGGCGCCTGTAGTCTCAGCTACTAGGAGGATGAGGAAGAAGAATGGCGTGAACCCGGGAGGCAGAGCTTGCAGTGAGCCGAGATCGCGCCACTGCACTCCAGCCTGGGCCACAGGACTAGACTCCGTCTCAAAAAAAAAATTCTCTGGCTGTCACTATCTCCCCACAAAGAAGACACGGTTCTGGTTTCTAAGAAGAGGCATTAGTTGCACCTATTTTTGTTTGCTTAATTGTTTTTTTCTCTAGTTTACATAAATGGAGGCATAAAAAAGTAGGTATTCCTTTGTGTCTAATCGATTTGTTTTGCTCAATACGATATCCAAGGAATTCACTTAAACTTTTGTGTGGATCTTTCATTCTCAGTGATGTATATTATTTTTTTCTGTTAATTAAATTATGCTGATGATGGCCACTAGGTCAGTTTCCTATATGGGAACTGTTTGTGATTATTCGTATTTCTAGGAACATTCTAGGTTATGTCTAATGGTAAGCTTAATTATGAATGCATTTCTGATGTGTGTATACCTAAGATCCATTTGGTGGATCACAGGTAATACATATTCTTAGTTTCGGTAGATACTAGCAGTATCCTGCAGTCTCCTAAAGTGTGTGTTCTATTTTGTACTCCCACTGGCAGGATATGAGTATTTTAATTGTTCCACATCCAAAGTATCACCAACATTTGTTATTTTTTGTCTTTTTTTTTTTTAGTTTTTCTGGTGATAATGATGCCGTATGATTTTCATTTGCATTTCCGATTATCAATGAACTTAATCTTTTTTCTTATATATACATAGTCTTTTATATATATAGTCTATATATAGTCAATATATAGTCTACATATAGACTATAGTCTATATATAGTCAATATATAGTCTACATATAGACTATATATAGTCTATATATTATATATAATATATTATATATTATATAATATATAATAATGGTCTATATATTATATATAATATATTTTATATATTATATAATTATATATTATTATATATTATATATAGACTATATATAGACTGTAGATAGTCAATAAACTAGTTTATATACAGCCTATATATAGTCAATAAAGAAGATTATATATAGACAATAAATAAGATATATAATATATAGTCTATTTATAGATATATATACTTTCTATATAAATATATATATCTATATATAGTCAATAAACTATGTATAGTCTATATATAGTCAATAAACAAGATATATATATATAGTCTCTCTATATATATAGAGATAGATAGATAAATCTTTTGTAAAGTACCAGTTCAAGTTTTTTTGCATTTATATATTGTTTCGTCTGTCTCATTCTTTTCAAAAAAATGTATTTGTAGATGTTCTTATGTATTTGTAGGATACTGTGAAGAATCATTTACTAATAATATGCATAAAAATGCCTTCTTCCACATTGACATGAAGGTTGCTTTACCATAATGCTATCTTTTGGAAAACCAAAGATACTTAATTTTATGATAGTTTAATATACTATTTCTTCTAATTATTATTTTAATCTTACTGTTTAAAAATGTTTGCCTATTCCAGGGCTTAAAAAGTTTCTCCTATGATTTTCTTGAAATTTTTGTTGTTTCTTTTTTACATTTAGGTCAGCAATCCTTCTGGAAATTGATTTAGTGTATGGTAAAAGGTAGCAGGTCAACATTTTTTTTTGGTATCAATATATCCAACTTACCCTTCATCCTTTATTAATAAGGTCATATTTCCCTCAACACTGTATTGCCACTAATGTAGCAAATTAGGTAACCATATTTGTAAAATTATATCCTCTTCTATTGGTCAATTTGTCTAAAAATTATCATTGTTTTACACATTTGAGGAAACGGAGTCTTTGGAAAGGGACAATGGTGGTGTATGTTAGTTTTTCCAGGATTCTTCACTTTGTAGCCAGCTCTAAAGGTTGGCTTTGAACACAATTGCAGACAGCTGCAACTTCTGTTATTTTAACATTCTTGGAATGAGATCTGTTTGAAAGTTCCATGCAAATGGCTGTTATTTCATTTGCCAAATGTGTGAAAAATATGTATCTTCACATTTTTCTGATAACACATAGGTTAGGTTTATATTTTTCCATGCATCATTACGCATAATGTGTTTGTTCTGATTCTTCTTAGAAAGCAAAACTCAGCCTGGTCACAGAGAATAATGATCAAGGTGGTTGTACTTTCAGAGGTCAGCGTGCCAATTTCAGTGCCATCCTGGTAGCAGACATTTGAGCATTCTGTGCCTCACTTTCCTCAAAGTAAAAAGAAGCTAATAAAGAACAAATTTATTGTTATCTACAACAAAACTAATTAAAGAACCTATCAGTAATTCCCTCAAATAATTATTATAATTGTAAAAATGAAAAAAGTGACACCACATTAGAACATTAAAAACTTCTTTGCATAAAGATATTATTCTTGCGTGATGCTTACCTCCTAGGTTATATTTTGTCCTGTATCCATAAAGCATTTAACTAAAGGTGACATGCTATTAAAGAGTAGCAAAGACTGCGATACAGAGAAATTGACAACTACCTTCACTTCATCCTTTAATTTCACAGAAATTCATTCGACATTTTCCAAACACAGCCTCCCTGGAATCTGTCACACACAGGTTTACCCTGGCTTCAGGCCACTTTCCTGTGGTGTGTGTACAAAGCTTGAACACATGATTAAAATAATTATTTTTTCACTTGAGTGTTTTATTCCATCATTGATGTGTTTGCTTCTCTCTCCCTAGAGTCACTTTTTTGTTAGTTAGGAAAGTGGAATTTTGCTAAAGTATTACCAGAGGGAAAAAGACATGAGATTCCATATGGGGAAATAGCCTCTGTTCTTTCCCCATCACAACTCATTTTACTACCAAAATCTGAACTTCCTGAAGCATAGCTCTTAGCATTTAATTGAAGGGGGAGCTGTAATCTCTCTCTCTTTTCCCTCCTTTCTCATTTTTATTTTAAATTAATTAGAGATTCAAGGGGAGTTGCAAAAACATAGAATCTCAAGAACCCTTTACCTAGCTGCCCCAGTGGTGACACCTTATATAAATCTAGTACTATATCAAAACCAGTAAATCACAATGGGTACAATACTGGTAATTAGACTTCAGACCTTATGCAGTTTTCACCAGTTTTTATGCACTCGTGTGTTTGTGTTTATGCAGGTGTGCGATTTAGTTCTTTGCTAAATGTATGTAACCACCACTACAATCAACACTACAGTTCCATCATTACAAAGAAACTCCCTTGTGCTGCCCTTTATTGTGGTTGTCACACTAGGTGTGATACCTCTTTTGAGTCTGCAGAATAAAGCTCAGACTTCTAAGTCAAAGCCCTGTGATATGGTTTGGATGTTTGTCCCCTCCAAATCTCAAGTTGAAATGTGATTCCCAGTGTTGGAGGTGGGGTCTGGTGGGAGGCAATTGAATCCTGGAAGTGGATCCCTCATGAATGGTTTATCACCCTTCCCTTGGTGGTGAGTTCTTGCTCACTTGGTTCATGCAAAACTAGTTGTTTAACAGTGTCTGGGACCTCCTCCTTCTCTCTCTTGCTGCTGCTCTCGTACTCTGCTCATGTGACATGCTGGTCCTCTTTTGCCTTCTGCCACGATTGTGAGCTTCCTGAGGCCTCAGCAGAAGCAGATGACAGCACTGTGCTTGCTACACAGCCTGTAGAACCCTGAGCCAACTAAATCTCTTTTTGTAAAGTAAATTACCCAGCTTCAGATATTTCTTTATAGCAATGCAAAAATGGACTAATACACCCATCAAAGGGAGGATTTATTTTGAGTGGACAGTGCCTAAGATATTCATTAGGTGACGGTTTACCTATGGGCAAAGCCATTGAGAGTTCAAAGATTAATTCCCACTCTTAAGCCCCTCCTAAACTCTATCAAGTGAGATCAAGCGATGTAAGTAAATTTTGGCAGTGTTTCTGAACGTTCTCATTCTTTCCAGCCTCCATTATCTTCATGCAGGCAGTATGTACAAAATATTTTGTAAGGACCTGGAAGATTTGGATAGGTTTGTCACTCTCCCATTCCTGTATTTTAATCATGATCTGCAATTGGATAGGTAACATGACCTCACCACAGAGGCAGTCTTGAATTCAGAGAAGGACGTGGAATTCATTTCTCCCTCACAACTTGTTTCAAAGCTTTGCAGTGAACATTTTCTGATGCCTTCCTGAATATTAATTGAAAAGCACTGTGTTAGATTTCAACCATTTTTTCCCCACAGGTATCGCTCCTTCAGATGAAATCATGAAGACGGTTTTATCTTGCCTCTACCAAAGAAAAGATGAGTGGTAAGATTATCAAACCCCATCTAAATTCCTAACATCCTCTATGTGCCACTAGGCTCTAGAGACTTAACAGTGCCTAGTTCAATGTGTGACACATAGTAAATATTCATTATGTATCGGGCAGATTCACCAGCAAATGAGTAATTAAACAAATGCCAAGACTGAGAGACATTAACAAAGGTTTTATTATTTTTTTCTCTCTAAATTCCATTTTGTAAAATTTGGAAATTATCTGAGGTTTCATAAGAAAATGCTTTCTTTGGTTTGTAAGATGAAAACTCGAAGCAAAGGCAAGTTTTACAATCTGCAGCTTTACAATCTGCCACCCTTTTTGAGGATTGTATCTAGCTGCAAATATTTGGCACTGCTCTCTTCCTCACTCTAATTTACAGTGCAACCAATTCAAATAGAATGCAAAAAGAAGCATTACTAAAAAATAAGTATTATCAATTAGCATACAAAAGTAGAACTGCAGAAGCTCTTTCTGGGTAAGAGGTCCTGAGAGAGCTCAACAGCCCATAGGCAGGAACAATGTTAAACATGCAAGTTTATAGTCCCTTTGGGGAACTTGAACAAAGAATATCAGCTCCCCATTGGTGGTCCTAAAGCAAACCAATTTTATTTCTCTGTAAACGCATTTGGAAAACAGCTTGATTTGGAGGGAAAACTCTAGGTGTTGTTAAGAGAAAACTGTCACCCATCCAAAACTCTCCAGGTTGATCTATAGACTTGACCCTGGCAAAATGTTAATTGTGGGCAGGTCATTTGTTCAAGGTTCATGCAGAATGGTCTAGGCAAAGCAAATTGAATTTCTTTGTCTTAAGAGAAATCCTTATGCAGTCCAACCCTCTAAGTGTGTACTTTCAGCCAAAAGGTGCTTGAGCAACTGAGTGGATGTGCTACTATAACCATCCTCTTTCTGTTTTATGTTTTACATCATGGTTCAGCATGATGCTGTCTCCTCTGGGTGCTATTCATAAGTCCTGGAATCATCATGCAGCCTGTTTTTCTGGGCTCCCTCTGTGTATTTTGCACGTTACATGACCCTCTTACCATGGTCTGTGAAGCCCCCTGTGATCAGAACTTTGTCTACAGAACCGGATTCATCTCCCTCCACGCTCCCCTCTTGCTTTTTCTATTTCAATCAACTTAAATGAATCATAATTTCCTAAACACACCTTGCCAGATCAAGCTATCTGCCTTGACCTTGACTCATGCTGCTTCTCCTTGAAATGTCCTGCCTCTCTATATTGAACTAACATACTTTCTGTTTTCAAGCCTCATTATAAAACTCACCTTCTTTTTTAACTGCTCCTATAGAATTGGCCATTTCCCCTTTTGTGGCCTCCATGATCTGATGGATATAATTCAGTGATTGCATTTAGGTCAGATCTGCCGCAATTTTTAAAACACCTTTGTACCCTCAGTGTCTGCAACAATGCGTGGATAACAGCAGGCATCACTGAATGTCTGTGGGATAAAAAAGAAAAAAAAAAGAAAAAAAAGAATGAATGTTGGTAAAGAAGGCAGCAGTTTGAAACCTGTGTTAGCTTTTCAGAGTTGGGAAATTAACATAAATGTGCCAAACCTCAGTTTTCTCATGTGGGAACTGCTAAGTCATAAATGAAAGAAGTGAGATGTAAAGGAGGTGGCATATATAGGCATTCAATACTTGCTAGTTACTTTCCTTATTCCCCTCACCTTGAGTTGTGATGACTAAAGCAGAAATTGCATTAAGTAAGGCTAAGTGGCATTATTGACCATGAGGAAATAGAGAACAGTGTCTAAGAAGTACTGAGCCAAACATTGCGCATGTGTGTGTGTGCGTGTGTGTGTGTGTGTGTGTAGAGACAATCATCTACCTGTAGCATGGGAAAGAGAAGCAAGTATTGGCTTTCAGAAGAAGTATTTAGGTTTAGGTAGTTTTCATTTTACTGTTGGTGAATGAAAATGTTCAATTTTTATTTAATAGTTTCTTTTTGTTGTTTTTTGTTTGTTTGTTTGTTTTGTTTTTTTTTTTTTGAGACAGAGTCTCGCTCTGTCGCCCAGGCTGGAGTGCAGTGGCCGGATCTCAGCTCACTGCAAACTCCGCCTCCCGGGTTCATGCCATTCTCCTGCCTCAGCCTCCCGAGTAGCTGGGACTACAGGCGCCCGCCACCTCGCCCGGCTAATTTTTTGTATTTTTAGTAGAGACGGGGTTTCACCGTGTTAGCCAGGATGGTCTCGATCTCCTGACCTCGTGATCTGCCAGCCTCGGCCTCCCAAAATGCTGGAATTACAGGTGTGAGCCACCGCGCCCGGCCTGTTGTTGCTGTTTTGTTTTTTGTTTTTGAGATGGAGTTTCACTCTTGTCACCCAGGCTGGAGTGCAATGGAGCAATCTCAGCTTACTGCAACCTCTGCCTCCCAGGTTCAGGCAATTCTCCTGCCTCATCCTCCTAAGTAGCTGGGACTATAGGTACCTACCACAATGCCTGGCTAATTTTTTTTTTTCTTTTTTGTATTTTTAGTTGAGATGGGGGTTTCACCATATTGGTCAGACAGGGCTTGAACTCCTGACCTCAGGTGATCCACCCACCTCGGCCTCCCAAAGTGCTGGGATTATAGGTGTGAACCAGCATGCCCAGCCTAGTTGTTTTCTTAGGCTATAAGAACCATTAGGCCACACCTTCAGAAAATAATGATACAGCTGTATTTGGGGTATTTGTGAAAGCGAGAATTTGCTTCTGTCCTTGTGCATACCTCCCAACTCAAAGGCTCTGTGCCAGCAGCCATGTTTCAAATATGAATACACTGAATTGGACCCAACCCAGGGCAAGCACAATGGTAATTCCCCAAACCCCACTGTTGGACCTGAACTGAGACATTCAACTCATTCTGTGCTGGAAAGTTGAAAGAAAAAGACGTAAACTCTGAGGCACTGGAGTGGTACTCTTTTCTGAGTATGCTTAGGGGAGCAAAGAAATCCAATCTGGATTTCACAGACCATTATGTCAATGAGATGTGATTGGGTGTTATAAGAAAGAAAAAAAAAAGGCTCTGCAGTAAAACATGTGTGGTTTAAACCAGTTTTCTTACTATAGGATTTCTCAAAGCCTGTAAAATGGTAATGTGTTTTGTGACTCCCCGTGATATTTATACTATATATAGTTATTTCCATCTTCTAGATTATGGCAAACCCGTGGAACTAGTGGCCCATGGATGATACTTGCTATTATGTGTCATATAGATTCTGAGTAAGATCGGTTTAATCCTGCTCCCACTAATGACCTTCTTTGTGACCTTGTACAAAACACTTGACCTCATTAAGCCTCTACAGTACATATGTAAACTCAAATCTACTTACATATGATATTCATTTAATCTCTCATCTGACTGTATGAATAGTCCCTATGCTTGTGTCTCAAAATAATGGTACTTTTAGGAAACAAGTAATACACAGTCAAAAAAGTGGTATGTAGAAGGGTTTAATATAGGCGTGGTTAATAATCAGGTGAATAGGGTTATGAGAAACCAAGAAGGATTGAGAAAGTACCCCAGTATTAGTAAGAACCAGGCACTGTTGGTGTCCCAAGTCTAAAGAGATAAGATGATTAGACAGTTTTAAGAACCTGGAGAGATTAATAACAAGTAATAGCAAAGGGCCACCTAACACAAGTAGTTGCTTCAATAAAGGGATGGAGCCAAGCCACAGTAACCCAAAAGGAAGAGACCTAAGAAGTAAATACCCCAACCTTTTTTCCCCGTGCCCTCCAAATCTGTTGTCATACCTCCCTTTGGCTAAACCCACCAGAAGCCGTCGGCAAAGGAGCTTACTGATGCAGTCAATAACAGCCTCCTGGGCACAGAGCAGGGCTGAGGAGGGTAGGGAGCAGATCTGCACTTACAAACAGTTGGCATGTTGGCAACACACTCGGCTCATGGATAAATCAAAAGACAGGGAGTCAAGACGACAGCATACTCTTTGGAGAAATTGTGAAATCATGTTGTTGAAGATGGCATCAAAGTCAGCCTCCCTGTCTCTCAAAGTGTGGCCCACACTGCTAAATGTTTCAGAGGGTTTTTCCTAATTTGGGGAAATCAAATATTTAAAAGCAGACCCACTTTGAAGTCTCTCAGCAAGCAGCAAATCTGAGACTTGATAGATCCAGTTATTAAAAATCAGTCCATCTGAGCAATCTGTTTGCCTGCCTTTCTTGCTGTGTTGGTAATTTTGCAAAAACTGCTGAATTTGCTCTCCTCCTCACTGCAGATTATAAAGAGTAAAAGATGTCTGTTGGTTGTCTATCATCCTTTAAGACGGATAAGAAGAACCCCTCCTGACTCTTTCAAAGACTCCCAACCTTCTCTGGACATTTAGAGAAGGGAATATTGGCAAAATTATCATTAAGGAAATAATTGTATGTGTTTGTATTTTATGTTGATGCAGACAGAAAAGAACCTCATTCTTCCCAGCTCCCTATTATCTCATGCAGAGATGTGCTCTAGCTACAATTTTTGGTCTGCCTCTCCAGATTGAGAAATCTTTACTCAGAGACAGCTCCGTGGCCTGTAAGATGAAAAAAGAGACTGAGGAGCTGAAGAAGAAGCTCAAGGAGAGATTGAAAAAGAAGGAACAAGTTAAAAGCCAAGGGTGGGGGAAGGGGAGCTCAGACAAAAAGAAGAGGAAGAAAAATTAAAACTAACTAACTAACTAACTACTAACTAACTAACTAACTAACTAAATAAATAAATAACAGTGCACTGCCCAAAGTGAAACTTAGTTTCTGGCTATTTACTGACAAGTATAAAGTCCCAGGAACTAAGAATTCTTTAGCATTTCTGTTTCCATCTGAATTATTATTGAACTGTTGGGCACAATTAATTGTGAATTATACCCAACAAGCGCCTACCATCACTAGTACGGAAGAGAATGTTCACCATATGCCAGATCATAAATGTCTCTTTCCCACAGGAGTGACTTACCTCCTCAGCAAGAATCTATTCATCCTATTCTTAATGATGCTTGCCCTATTTTTTTTTAAAAAGGCACTATTTGAAGCAGAGAATGTGAAAAACTACAGCCAGAGTCTTGGGAAGACATATTAGAATTGTAAGCAACCTTGACCAATTTGAAAGACAAATTTGTTCTGATATAAAAACATTTAATAATAAGGAAAATCACAGAGCATTTTGTGCTGGCTGACCTATGAAACTCCCCAAATTCTATGCTGGATGGGCTTGGCCATATACAAAATTTCAACATAGAAAAATCTAAGAATCTAGGTAAATATCACAGTACTTAATAATCAGAAAAATAGAGTCAGTACTATGAATGTAAACAGGCTACACATGTATTTAAAAGAAATGGGGTTGGGGGATGGCAAGTGGGGTGTTCATACCCTTCATATTCAACACCTCATTCGTCTACTAAAGTCTGTGTCTAATTCAGAGCCCAACAATTCACACTTATGATTAAGAGTGCTTAATGATTTCAAGTTTCTATACAAGGATATAGACCCCAAATAGAGCACTGTGTGAATTGTTTCTGCCCAAGAATCAAAGTTCCCTAACCCTTTTCATTTATCTTGTCTCCTTTACTGTCAGCTCTCTTCCATATGAACATGGTCTAGTTTCCTCTCTCTCAGATGACTTCCCTGTCACTGTACTATCACCTGCTAAAACACGTGTCCTCTGACAGGTAGATCCTGCTCCACCATCTATCTCAACTCTGCACCATCTATAAGCTCAGGTGATAATCAATGACAACAATACATATAAGTGGGAAAAAGAGAATTTAACCACAAGTTTTATTCATTCACAGTTGACCTTGGAACCAAAGATAGGTAAGGCCATAGCTTGAATTCATACTAACGGTATGATGGGATATAAAGGATTAAGGAACTCCTGATAACGCCCTTTCTCTCAAATGCCAAGGTATACAATAAATATTGTGCTGAATCATTTGTCTTAACCGATGGGAGAATTTAAAAAAACACACACACAAAAACAAACAAACAAAAAACAAAACAAAACAAAAAACGCTTGTCAAAAAACAACAGCAACAACAACCCACCCAGAAAAATATGAAGTTAATTGATTCATTGTTGAATGCCTTTACAAGTAGCCCTAGGATGTGTATAGGAATTCCACGCCACCAGGGTAGTTTTTTTGTTTGTTTTTTTGTTTGTTTGTTTGTTTGTTTGTTTTTTAATGACTGTGCTCTTCTTAGTGCTGATTCTGATTCTTCTTGAAGTATTCCTTATTCAGAAGTCCTCAACAACTTCTTCACCTAGAACAGTGCCTGAGGTATCATGTATGTGCAATAAAAGCTTGATCAATGAAGCCACATCTTCTACCAAGGGCAAATATTTTAATGTAGATTAATTTTAAGACAATTTTTTACCTATTCTCTGCATATTATCACACTAATTATCTTATAGCTGTATTGCAAGGGTTAATTAGATAATACGTGTAACTTGTTTATAACAA